TCTGATTTTTCCCACTACATCTGACTGAAGGATCCTGAGCTAGTGTGTGGTTGAATGATTTTACCTACATATGATCAGAAGTGACCAAAGAAAGACAACTTTTAACAGGTTTTACAAAATCAAAAGTGTAAAAGGTCCAGACACAGACAGCAAACAGGACCAGACTGTTTATGCACTGAAAGGCTGACTGAAAGCGAGACACAGGTGAATACAATAAATTCAGCAAAAAGGAAGAAATAAAACTTATGTGAGGCATAAAAGGAAACTAACTTTCAAAATAAAACAGGAAATAAACAAGTGAACTAATATGGACGTAAATACTAACATGTCGGAGTAGAAAACAGGAGAACTGAGATATTAACACAAACATGAGAGTGAGTGAGGAACAGCCTCAGAAACAGACGAAACTAAAAACTAACAGACATAAAACAAAACACAGGAACTAAAATTCATCGAAACCATTAAAGGAAAAGAGCAAAGTCTCAGTGATCTCTCAATAAACACAGTTTGCAATCTACTAGAAAACCAAAGAGGAATGTTAAATCTATCAGTCTAATCCATTACAAGGGTAACAGATCGTGGCAGAGGTGTGGTTTATGGCTCTGCTGGCGTCGTGGTGGTCACGTCAGACCCATCGCCTGCACAGCTGGTTCAGTTGCTTGTGTAGATGCTGGCGGCATACACAGGGAGGAAGCAGCGGCGCAGAGGCAACAGTTGAACAGACTTCAGGGCCCGGCCGAGCACCAGATGCAGGTGCTGGTTGGGGTCACCGTGCCACCGCCCCCTCCTCTGCTGCCAGTGACGACGCACCAGACAGGGGAGGGCGACAACCCACAGTTATTCCTGGAGACCATCCAAGCCATTTCAGAACGTGCCAGTGTCCCACGGCAGAATGGGCGCCATGGCTGCTGCTGCTCTCTGGGAATGCTCAGACAGCAACTCCGAGCTTGCCACCACCCTCGCCGGGACCTTTGGAGACATCTGATGGGACATTATAGATCGCTTGGGCCTTTCCCAGGAAAACCGCTGCCGGCGGTTCTGGGGTTGTTGGATGACGGCAGAGGACCAGACACTGTTTGTGGAAGG